GTGACGCGGCTAAAGAGTGAGACCAACTTGCTGCAACTTTTGAGGAAAACACAATAAGAACATGTTATTATATAACAGAAAATGTGTAATTAAACTTAAGTGCTAAGGCAAGCAAAATGTTTTTTTTTTATCATTATGATTACTGATTTTCAAATATTTAACAAAATTCTTAACATTCAAGAGACGCCAACATATGACAAAAGTGTTGAAGAAGGAACACATTTGCAGTAATAGAGGTATTCCATGGTATTGTCAAAATGTGACATTTGTAAAGTGATTGACCATGGTGTTACGTCAGAATGTAACATAAGAATTAAAAAACTAGAGATTTTCCATGGTTTTCTGTTACTGTATGACATGCGTTGTAATAGAGGTTATGCTGTGTCGATGGCCTGTCTTGTTCAGTATTGGAGGTGTGTCAAAATACGTCATCTGTATTATTTAAGATTTTCCATGGTGTGTCAAAATACGTCATCTGCATTAATTAAGATTTTCCATGGTGTGTCAAAATACGTCATCTGCATTAATTAAAATTTTCCATGGTGTGTCAAAATACGACATCTGCATTAATTAAGATTTCCCATGGTGTTGTTTCTGAAAATTTTACACGCAGTAATTGAGATATTGCATGTTGCTTTTCTTTTTTGTGTCGAAATGTAACATAATTATGCTGTAATAGAAGTATTCCATTTTGTTGTGTCAGAGTTTGACATCTGAAGTTACAAGATTTTCGATGGTGTCGTTGAGGCTTACAACAAAGTTACCGTCAACACGTACTTGTTTTGACTGCTACATTAGGAGAGATGTGTGAAATAAATGTTTTTAATCTTTATTTTCCAGTCAGTTGTAACCTTGTCCTCTATCCCTCATGTGGTAGTGAGAAAGTTGCCAGGTCAATTCTGAAGTTTAGTGTAAGCGCAAAATGACGGAAGGATACGCACAACAAATTATTTTACTTCATAGAAGACTGATAAAGTAGGTAGTGTAAAAATTAACCCTCCTTGATTCGTCACAACACTTGGCGTTCATCTTTATCTTTTATAACTGTTCCATTTGTTATGTCAGTGGAGGAAATTACATGTATAGTCAAAAAAAGTTGAGACCATTCAAAAATGAGTGATATCAATTGCACGTTCTATACAAGCCCGAGCAATGAGAGTTGGTCCATTGTAGAAGGTTTTGTTATTGATGGCCGCCCATCCATTTCTCCTGAAGACTGAAAAAAATAGAAGAAAATGATAAGGTCTCTAACTTTAAAACCTGCTGGACCTGCTGATTAGACTTTGCCGCCAGTATAGGAGCCAGGCCAGCCTGCACATCTATACAGTCTAACCATGCTGTACACCGTTGTTAGCTTTTTATATTGAAACCCCTTAAACAATGAATAAAATATTCAAAATTCAAAGAATGGCAAATCTATTACATAAATTCAACAGATTATGAGTTCAGTATATTTCTGATACAGGCAGATTGGCCTTTATTGTACTGTATTCCTATTTATCATCAATCAATGTAATCTGTACAAACTAATGAATAAACAGCGTTAATGTCAGAACTGAATGGGTCTTGGAGCATCAGGAAGAATATAAACTTGCTGGTGTCTCTAGCAGAATGTGGCTGTCATGTTTTTTATCTTGTGATTGAACTTTCAAATTAACTATTAAACAATTCCATAATACAAGTTTCAGTGCACATAATTATTTGGTTGCAAAATGACATAACAATTCATTTTCCCCCAGTAATTAATCACCACACAACATTAGATATGAAACCAAATGCGTCACGTTGGACGTCCTACCGCTTTTAATGTATATTATCTAAACCTCTAATACTATGATCAAAGTAACTTACTAGAGATCCTTAAAAGCTTGAAGTGGTAAAACAGCTTGGTAAACATTGTCTTATAAATAATTAGAAATAAGTATTTACTAAAATTTATTTCACCAATATTAATAGTGACAATAAGATCACATTTAACTTTTGTTGTTAACTTAGTATTTTCTTATCTAATATATTGTTAACCATGTATAATTTCAAATTTTGATGATAACTTACTTTGTGTAATGAGGCTTTGTCAATGGCTTTCAAAATTTCATAACGTTTGAGCTGTTTAGCGCGTGTGTAAAGTGACGTCAGGTCATGGTCACACGTGTACGTGGAACATGCAGAATTTCGTGCATTGCAATCCTCGTACTGAAATAAAAATGTCGCAATAAAAAGATATTATTGTCGTGAGCAAAAAGAGCCAAAATGCACGAGAGCAATGTTGAAAGACCATAGCATCCGTTTCTTCAAGATATCATGAATACTTCAATTTGGCATCTGCTTGGAAACTGATAGTTCTTTATTAAAATTAAATTTATTTTTAATGTCATCAATATTCATTAGTTAATAGTTATCCGTCATTTTATTCAAGTTGGTGATAAAAAGGTGTTTAAAGTGCAAGATGGGTAACCTGTTTATATATATCTGTTCGCATGCCTTGCTGTATTAGATATACTGCGATGTGTTGTCTCCCTGTATCTACACAATGGAAGAGAATATTGGCGTAGCGATTGATGTCCCCTTTGTCAGCTAGACCGACCACCAGGTCTTCAACGCCCAGAACGTCACCTTTCTGTAACAACAAGTATAGTTATATTACAGTGATAACAGAACCGAAATGTATCATAGTACACTGAAAAAGCGTTCAGTTTATTTTAGTTCGATTGTGTAGGGAGCTATTAACTAATAGACACATTCTCGAACTACTAGTAACCAGTACTGAGCAATGAGTGTATAGTTTCTTGCTCAAGGAAGCAACAGCTTGACAAAAACGGGGTTTGAACAAATCCGGCTAGGTACTTATAATACGTCATAGTATAGTTTGAAGTTTCCAAGTTATCTGAAGCTTTTAATGAAGAAAAACGTTAACGGAGTCAATGAATACAGTCCAATATTCTAAAGAATAGAGTCAGAAAATACCCCACATTTAGTCTGAAATGCCATTTTAGTCCGTTGATGTTTTATTTTGTAACATGGTACTTGGAGATATTGCTGCGGTTAATGATATTTTTTACATGGTTGCAGATTCCTATCATGTTTGACAACAGTTACTCAATGAGAGCTTTAGATTTATTTGCAGAAAACTTTTGAACACATATATTGCCAAATAAATATGTATTCCTTCCCTTTGTGTATTTCGCTATTGAAAACATTTGTTTTAGGAAACAGTTCTGTTTAAAGAAAAATAACTTACTTTGACAGCTTTCAGTAGTGATTGTTCGAAGTTTGTCTCGGCAAGGTACACGTCCATTGTAAAACCATACATTGACCTTTGTAAACGGACATACTCATCTTTCCCACAACTTCCGATATGATATTGTCCTGGATACCGACCAGCCTGTTGAACAGACGAACATTTAATACTTTGTCAACCATATTAGGATGCATATAAACAAACGATAATTACATTTCTAACATATCTTAAAATTGAAATAGGCGCAAAATTTGATAGATTAGCCATATATTCTCTTCATTCGGAAACCCTCGCCAATTATTCATATTGGACTACCCAGTGTGATTTATTTTTTAGTATTTACTAACTTATGGATTACAAACACCTTATATGTTCATTTTGTACGGAGACTAAGATATAAACATTCTTTTTTAATTTTGACGATTATTTTAACTAACATTATAATTACATCACATAGCACGTTTTTTTAAACGAAATTGATATAAATTTCAAACTCCTTCCACGAGTTAGGCCCTGACAGTGACAAAATGAATGATAATGACGAACAGTTATTGTGTAGTATGCAGGAAACAATACATTATATAATTATTTACAGGCAAACCACTGTTAAATTCAAGGGCCGTAACTCAGTCAAAAACATTCAACCGGAAAGCCCGTTAAGGTTTCAAAAGTACTTGAGGTACCAATCAATTCTGCAAATTTTCACTCAAATTGCATGGCTACTATAAGAGATGTAGTTATAACAAAACTTTAAAATGACTTCTTCTCTTTTACAGACGACACAAAAGAATGGTTATTTTCTGGTTCGAAATCTAGTTTTCTGCCATCGAATTTGTTTGAGTCTATCAGAAAAACTCCTATATTCATTTCATTTTATGCTATAAAAGTAACAAATGATATTCATTCTGTTTTCTTATATAAGATTTCTAGCAAATATTAGCAAGGGTTTTTATAGCCAGTACTCACCCAGTCGGCGTTGATTGGATTAGCTCCATGCAGCAGAAGATAATTTACCAGACTTGTGCTTTCTGATACCAGATATGCATAATGTAACGCGCATCTACCAACCTGTGTTGTAATTAAATAATAATAATAATAATAATAATAATAATAAAGACTTTATTTAACGAGAGAACTCATTTGAACAAACATATCAATCTTCCATGAGGCCCTCAACAAGGAACAATATAAATTTAACATTTTCAAAACTATTAAAATACATAAATGTAAAAACATACAGGAGATTATCAATTTGTATACATCAATGCGTGATAAAAACCTCAAGTATAAGGTTTTAAAATGGTTAACAGATGTAGCAGACTTAATATAATCAGGAAGGCCGTTCAAAATACAAGATCCAGAATAAACAAAAGACTTACGAAATTGTTCAGTATTTTGGTCTAGGGGTATAAAGTTGAAAATCAGATGATGAACGCAAAATGCGAGTATGAACATCTGACGAAAAAATGAAATTATTCAATAAATAGGAAGGCGCCTGATTATTTATTATTTTAAACATCATAATAGCTTTTTTGAAAAACAACCCTCTGTGAAAAGGTCATCCAGCGGAGTTCAGAAAAAGTTCAGCAGATGGAGTGTCATAATCTTTGTCTAGAATTAGTCTTGCAGCTCTCTTTTGGAACTTAATGAGTTTTATCTTCTAGAAAAGACGTACAGTTACCATAAATTATGCAACAATAATCAAGATGTGGTAAAATATATGCATTGTAAAACATTTTACGTACAGGTATAGATATGAATAATTTTATACGTGATAATAAATGTAACAATGAGTTACACTTTTTAAGAACATTATCAATATGGCTTTGCCAAGACAAGGTGTTATTAATTGTAATACCCAATAATTTTTCTTCAGAGCTACAGAAAATTTGCTCTGTTTTATATAAAATACAAGGATTACTTTCATGAATATAATTTTGCTTGTGTTTTGAGGAAATATACATGACCTTAGTTTTGTTAACATTGATAGACATGCGATTCAAATCACACCATTTGTTGGCATTTGAATATACACAGGTATACATGTACAATAATACGTGTATCAATAAAAATCAAATAGACCGTATTAGGTTTTGTTTTTGTTTATTTGTTTGTTTGTTTATTTATTCATTATGTATTTTGTGTAATCTTTTTTTAGGAAGGGAGCTAAGGGCTGAAACTGGGGTGTAGATTTTTACCTACAGTGTCGCTATTATATAAGGTCTTATTATGGACTCACTGTGATAACAATGCAATATTTCTGTTAGCAAAAGCAAACATAAATATAAACACCACTTTAAATCACAGTGTACCGTTGAAATTAGGTTACAAATGCTTATGCAATCGTAACAAGAGTTGGCCGAGGAGCAATAATAAAATAAAAGTGGAAAAGTATGGAAAGCCTTGACTGTCTTATAATTAACCCCATCAGTATAATGACAGAAGCACATGATATAATGTTGTTTGCACTTCATATAAAGCAGCGGTCGTATAACAATAGATGCACATCGTATAATGAAAAATTGACATAATATATTGATAAGTTGGTAAGTGAGAAGTTAGCAGTTAACAGTGAGCTAAGCAAAAAGGCATTACGATTTATATAGGGAAATCAATGATCTGCTGTTATGCTCAGCTGGGTAAGCAATCTAGCAGAGCATTCCAAAATAAAGTGTAGAAATGCTTTGCTGGTATGCTCAGCTGGGTAGGCAATCTAGCAGGCCATTACTAAATATAGTGTAAAATGCTCTGCTGGTATGCTCAGCTGGCTAGGCAATCTAGCAGGGCATTCCCAAATATAGTGTAAAAAATACTTCTGCTGTTATACTCAGCTGCCTAAGCAATCTAGCGGGGCATTCCAAAAATATAGTGTAAAAAAGCTCTGCTGTTATCCTCAGCTGGCTAAGCAATCTAGCGGGCCATTACTAAATATAGTGTAAAAATGCTCTGCTGTCATGCTCAGCTGGCTAAGCAATCTAGCGGGGCATTCCAAAATATAGTGTAAAAAGCTCTGCTGTTATCCTCAGCTGGCTAAGCAATCTAGCGGGCCATTACTAAATATAGTGTAAAAATGCTCTGCTGTCATGCTCAGCTGGCTAAGCAATCTAGCGGGGCATTCCAAAATATAGTGTAAAAATGCTCTGCTGTTATGCTCAGCTGCCTAAGCAATCTAGCGGGGCATTCCAAAATAAAGTGTAAACATGATCTGCTTGTATGCTCAGCTGGCTAGGCAATCTAGCAGGGCATTCCTAAATATAGTGTAAAATGCTTAGCTGTTATGCTCAGCTGGCTAAGCAATCTAGCGGGACATTCCAAAATATAGTGTAAAAATGCTCTGTTGTAATGCTCTGCTGAATTGCTCAGCTGGCTAGGCAATCTAGAAAGGCATTCCTAAATATAGTGTTAAAAAGCTCAGCTGGCTAGGCAATCCAGCAGAGCATTCCTAAATATAGTGTAAAAATGCTCTGCTGGCAAGCTCAGCTGGCTAAGCAATCTAGCAGAGCGTTCCAAAATATAGTGCGAAAAATGCTCTGCTGGTATGCTCAGCTAGCTAAGCAATCTAGCAGGGCATTCCTAAATATAGTGTTAAAAATGCTCAGCTGGCTAGGTAATCCACCAAAGCATTCTGAAAATTAGTGTAAAAATGTTCTGCCGGAATGCTGAGCTGTCTAGGCAAACTAGCAGGGCATTCTAAAATAAAGTATAAATTTCGTTGGTCTGCAACTGATTATTTGGCACTCGTAGACTTTCTGAAATATTTAGTGCCAATTCAGATAATGACATTTTTGACTTCTACGGGACCCTCAAGTGTCTATTTCTTTGGTCTCCGACTGATTCTGGGACGATCGCAGACTTTCAGGAATTTTTGGTGTTAATGCAGATAATGACATTTGTGAAATTTTAGGACCATCCAGAGTCCATTTCGTTGGTCTGCAATGTTTCTGGAACACTCGCAGACTTTCAGAAATTTTACTTCAAAGGGACCCTCCTGAGTCTATTTCGTTGGTCTGCGACTGATTCTGAGTCACTCGCAGACTTTCAGGAATTTTGGTGTCAATGCAGAAAATGGCAGTTCTGACTTATTGGGACCTTTCTGAATCCATTTTTTTGGTCTGCGACTGATTCTGAAGCACTCACAGACTTTCAGGAATTTTTGATGTCAAGGCAGATAATGACATTTTTTACTTCTAGGGACCATCCAGGGTCCATTTTTTGGTCTGCGACTTAATCTTGGACAGTCACAGACTTTAAGGAATTGTTGGTGCCAATCGAGATAATTACAATTAATGACATTTTTGACCATCCAGAGTCTTTTTCGTTGGTCTGCGACTGATTATTGGGCACATACAAACTTTCAGGATTTTTTAGTGCTAATGCAGATAATGACATTTTAGGGTAAAAATGCTCTTCTTATGACTAAGGGGTCCTTAAAACTAAAAACAGTCATGATCTGCAATGGCATTACAACCTGAAAGTCTGCGAGTCTTAAGGAATCAGTCGCAGACCCAAGAAATGTACTCTGGCGGTTCCCTAAAAGTCAGAAATGTCATTATCTCCATTGGCATCAAAAATTCCTGAAAAGTCTGCAAGTGTCCAAAATCAGTCTCCAGCAGACCAGCGAAATAAACTCTGGTGGGATCCGCTAGAAGTCAAAAATGTCATTATCTCCATTGGCACCAGAGATTCCTGAAAGTTTGCGAATGTCCCAGAATCAGTCGCAGACCATAAAAATGGACTCTGGCGGGTCCCTAGAAGTAAAAATTGCCATCATCTGTATTGGCACCAAATTTTCCTGAAAGTCTGCGAGTGTCCAACAATACGCTTTAGGCTAATGAAATGGACTATTTAAGGTCCTTAGAAGTCAAAAATATGAATTTTTCTATTGGCACCAACCATTCCTGAAAGTCTGCGAGTGTCCAAGAATCAGTCGCAGACCACCAAGATGGACTCTTGAGGATCCATAGAATTCTTAATTGTCAATATCAGCATTGGCACCATAATTCCTGAAAGTCTGCGAGTGTCCTTCAAAAAGTCGCAGGACAATAAAATAGTCTCTAAAAGGTCCTTAGTAGTCAAAAATATCATTATTTCTATTGGCACCGAAAATTCCTGAAATTCTGCGAGTGCCTCAGAATTGCCTAGAAGTCGAAAATGTTAATAAAACTTTGGCAACAATAAATCCTGGAACTCAGAATCAGTCTGCCAACTGAGCATTCCACCAGAGCATTTTTTAACTATATTTCGGAATGCCCTGCTAGATTGCCTAGCCAGCTTAGCATTCCACCAGAGCATTTTTACACCATATTTAGTAATGCCCTGCTAGATTGCCTAGCCAGCTGAGTATTCCACCAGAGCATTTTTTCACTATATTAAAGAATGCTCTGCCATAGTGCCTAGCCAGCTGAGCATTCCACCAGAGCATTTTTACACTATATCTAGTAATGCTCTGCTAGATTGCCTAGCCAGCTGAGCATTCCACCAGAGCATTTTTTCACTATATTAAGGAATGCTTTGCTATAGTGCCTAGCCAGCTGAGCATTCCTGCAGAGCATTTTAACACTTTACTTAGGAATGCCCTGCTAGATTGCCTAGCCAGCTTAGCATTCCAGCAGAGCATTTTTACACTATATTTCGTAATGCTCTGCTAGATTGCCTAGCAGCTTAGCATTTCACCAGAGCATTTTACACTATATTTAGGAATGCCCTGCTAGATTGCCTAGCCAGCTTAGCATTCCAGCAGAACATTTTTACACTATATTTAGTAATGCCCTGCTAGATTGCCTAGCCAGCTTAGCATTCAAGCAGAGCATTTTTTCCCCACTATATTTAGTAATGCTCTGCTAGATTGCCTAGCCAGCTTAGCATTCCTGCAGAGCATTCTTTCACTATATTTAGGAATGCCCTGCTAGATTGCCTAGCCAGCTTAGCATTCCAGCAGAGCATTTTTAACACTATATTTAGTAATGCCCTGCTAGATTGCCCTAGCCAGCTTAGCATTCCAGAATAGCATTTGTACACTATATTTAGTAATGTCCTGCTAGATTGCCTAGCCATCTTAGCATTCCAGCAGAGCATTTTTTTACACACTATATTTAGTAATGTCCTGCTAGATTGCCTAGCCAGCTTAGCATTCCAGCAGAGCATTTTCTCACTTTTTTAGTAATGTCCTGCTAGATTGCCTAGCCAGCTATGCTAGCCAGCTGAGCATTCCAGCAGAGCATTTTAACACTATATTTAGTAATGCACTGCTAGATTGCCTAGCCAGCTGAGCGTTCCAGTAGAGCAGTTTTTCACTAAAGCTTGGAATGCTCTGCTAGATTGCCAAGACAGCTTAGCATTCAAGCAGAGCATTTTTACACTATATTTAGGAATACCCTGCTAGATGCCCAAAACAGCTGAGCATTACAGCAGATCATTACCTTCCCTATATAAATTGAAATGCCTTTTTGCTTAGCTCACTGTTCACTGCTAACTTCTCACATACGATAAGTTGACTGTATATAATGTTGCAACCACATAATATATTCATAAATGCACATCGTATAATAATAGATGCACATCGTATAATGAAAGATTGACATAATATATTGATAAGTTGACTGTATATAATGATTCTACCACATCATATATTCATTAATTAAGGTGACAACGGAGTCAATTATCACTGAAAATACCTAAAATGAGATTTTTTGCTAAGTAGATTTATCAACCTTTTCTGAACACATTCGTGATTTAATTTAGGAAGCAGTTAGTCCAAAAAATGTGTTTTTAAACGTTTTAAAACGGAACCTATACTATTTGTATCTGCTATTCGCGTAACCTGTCGATTATCGATAACGCTCCGCCCCCTGTTGAGGCATAAATGAGGGAAATCGGTAGTTCCATATATCCGTGAATTACAGGTCCATACTGGTCTATACTTCTCGTAATACATGTATCGTACAACTAACGTACATCTTTTATGAATATTTCAACATTTAGCCTTTTTATAAATGAAGAAATTGTCGGCCAATGTACGTAACATAATGTATGAAACATAAATAATTAAGCAAAGCGGCAAATCGCACGACCACGGGGTTGTTTAAAAATGTAGTTGCTAAAATATCCATAATGTGTGAAAATAATTTGTCTGTCCCGTTAATCTGATAGATATTACGTTGAGTTGATAGACTTTTGTACGGATTCAAGGGCTTACTTTACATTCAACCTCGTTTTCTTACAATGTCAAGTAAAACAACAACAAAAACAGACAACATTTTTTTATGTGAACGCCTCTGTGACTTGTGGTAAGGTGTCCCTGACAAATTTCTAAAAACCATTTTAGATTGTCTAAGGATGATTATTTCTCTATAAATAAAAAAAAAGATATTAAAATATATTCTCAGTGAAAATAAATTGTTCGCAGTAAATCGGACACAGTACTAATAAATCTGGTACAAAGTATGAAATTTATTGTCTATCCCGGTAGAAACTGGATCTCTATGCCGTGCATAGATGATATTCATAATAGAAGTCAAGAAGGCCAGACCATAATGATCGAGTAATACCTTTTATTTCTATTAAAATATGTGAAGCATTATCAATTTGGTGGAAAAAATATATAATATTCCGTTCTTATTTGTACATCTACCATGGACTTTAAAAGACTGTCAAAAGCTTAGTTTTTTGTTATTTTATTTTATATTTTAACGGAATTGCATACACGAATACACAGGCAGAGTGACACTGGTATAATACAATAATAATGCTGATGATAATAATAATAAACTTCAAAAAGGAAACAATTAAATACCCCGCTAGCGGTGCGCAAATGCGTTCCATTTCCCCCCACTGAGTGCCTCAAATTATACCGATAGTCACGTGACATGTGCGACAGATACCAGACGGACAGTAAATCACGTAAAGAATTGAAGAAATTTCGGCTATAAAACTGATATTAATCAGCAACTTTTTTAATTGGTCAGATGTCACTGGGTCATAAAATGTTGTTAGAGTATGTTACCGCAACTTGTGACCCTCTCTGGTGCGATATTTGTGTATTATGCAATTATTTAGCGTGAAACGTAGGAGTCCGAGAGAGAACAGCCGATTTATGACACTTCGTTTGATGCGGGTCGGACTTACTTTGAATCGGCATAACTTTTTTAATAAACAAGCAATTAACATGCGGTTTAAAGCACATGAAAGGAAATTCATTTACGGAGGGAACCGTGTCAGGGATTTTTGTTTGCTCAATAGGCGACTTAATTATCTTTAATTACGTAATGTGTATCTAGATAATATAAGTATGGTTATAATATAAGTATGGTTATTTTCCAAAAGTTTGATGACAAAAAATTAAAAAATGACTTTGATATGACGATTTAAAATTTTAGGATTTTTATTCAAAATCAATCATTTACAAAGGCATTTTTTTCAAATATGTTATTTTTTATGATGATCAACGACATTTAATGCACAAAGATTAAATAAATAACAATTATTACTAAAATAACTTTGTTTAAATGACATTTATGTGAGTACCACGGAAAGTGTCTGTTGTCACCTTAAAGCACATGAAAGGAAATTCATTTACGGAGGGAACCGTGTCAGGGATTTTTGTTTGCTCAATAGGCGACTTAATTATCTTTAATTACGTAATGTGTATGGTGAAAAAAGTCGCATAAAATGTTTGACGTTACGTAATATTTTTTTGAGAAAAGATAGAAAAAATTTGAGACACGGTTCCCTAGATAATATAAGTATGGTTATTTTCCAAAAGTTTGATGACAAAAAATTAAAAAATGACTTTGATATGACGATTTAAAATTTTAGGATTTTTATTCAAAATCAATCATTTACAAAGGCATTTTTTTCAAATATGTTATTTTTTATGATGATCAACGACATTTAATGCACAAAGATTAAATAAATAACAATTATTACTAAAATAACTTTGTTTAAATGACATTATGTGAGTACCCAAAAAAGTGTCTGTTGTCACCTTAATGCACATCGTAAAATGATTGGTCGACATCATATAAAGACACATTGACATCATATATTGTTCAGATGACTTCATATAAGGATGCATCTACACAATATATTCATGAGTGCACATTGTATAAAGAAAGAGTGACACAACAACGTTCATTTTTGCAATCATAAGACAGTCAAGGCTTTCCATAGAAAAGTAGTACATGTTCTAGTGATTTAAATACGAATCTAACAGATAATCACCAATGTGCGTTTTTAGTGACCATTAACATAAACTTAACCAACGCTGGTGACACCGAGTAGCTCCGCTTTTTGATTAAACGTCAATTTTCGAAGTATTAGGACTGATAAAGCAATGTGCGGGCTCCTTTTTACAAGATTGTCCATAACTAAATGGACAGTCGTCACTATTTTGTTTAAATTCGTGTTTAATTTTTTGTGCATTTTTAAAGCTATATTTTTCCTTATACGTATAATTGTAATTTATCAGTATTCCTCAGAGAAACACGTGCCATTCTTTTTTTCTGAGATTGTTTTTTATTCATTTTATTTCATATTCATCTTGGACAACCGTTTATGAGACAAAAAGACAAATAGATCTTCATATTTCAAGGCATGGTAATTAAAACTTACATTATCTTTTTCATCGATGATGTGTTTATAATTCTGAACAATGTACTTTATCATGTCTTTCTTTTTGTTGAGTATCGCTTTGTGTAGAATGGTACGCCCACATTTGTCACGTGCCGATGCAAACTTCCGGCTGGCGAGGCGCCGTAGTTCGTCTGTTCCACCCGTGTCTGTAGCTCTGAACATCAGCATAATGTGGTGCTGCAGATTAGGAAACATAATGTTGTGTTATTTATATTATTCCACAGGGACTAGACATTATATCAATTATTACCACAGGCACTTGTGGGTTAGACCCTTTCCCCCGGCTTGATCAGCCCCTGTAAATGTCAATTAATAAAATAACTTTTGACATTTTAACACAAATTTAATGTGGCATCTGTCTTAATCATTAAACTTGTTTTAAACCATTCAACAAAAACAACTTACCATCAAGTCTCAATAATGTATCATGCGTGTGTTTTTTTACTGAGCTTGTAACCTTTTGATCATCATGATCTTTAGTTATTTAATGTTGTTTACAGTGCATCATAAATAGTAGAATTACGGTAATGTTAGTTGTTGGTGACTTTTTTTTACCAATATTACGGTATTGTAATTTAAGTACACATGCACGTACCTGGACACGTTTTTACTTACTCGTTAACATTTACAACTAGGCAATGACATTTAGATCTACTATGATATTCATTGTTATTTTATAGTGAAAAAAAAGGAAAGAAAAGTCGAATTTCGTCCTAGTGAAAAGCGGATTGGCAAACTGTCAATAAAAATGTTGATGAGGTTCTAATTGTTAAAGTATGTTTAGTATGAACATTCACAAGATGATGAACACTAGATAATTAATTAATCAATTCATTCATTCGTTAATAATGGTGCAAATTAATTATATTTTATGAATAGATCAAGATTAGGAAAAGTGCAGTGCCTATAAGTTATAACTCCCTTTTGCAAAACTCTGTAATTCTGGTCCCTGTAAATTGTCATATTTATATTTGCCGCTATTTTACATAATTTTGGAATAACTGCCCTTTGTATATTTCATTCTGGACATTTTTCAAACTCGATACAGTCATTGCATTTGTCAATACCTTTATGGTCATGTTGCAGAAAAGAAATAGCAAAAGAGTGTAACAGATTAAAATGGTCCCAAACAAAATATTACATTCCTATTTTTGAGGGTGTCGCCTCGAAACTGCACCATATTAGGTAATTGTGTAGGATTCTTATGATGATGCCAAAATTATTCTACAGCTTCAGACAACCCAAATACAGCTCTTTACCACCCCGGAAAACGTCTTCTCAGAGACCCTTTTATCAAGGTTCAACTGTACAATTCTTTCTCTACAGTACAGAACAAAGATAAGAATCCGTTGTGACCGGCAGGTATTGTTGTAAAGATTTTAAAGTCATTGTAAGGATGATACTGTTGCTGTAAAGACATTTATTTTAAATATTTTTTTTCAGAAGGCCGCTCTGCAGGTCTGGTATTGCATTTATTTTGTAAACCATTATTTTGAGAACTTAAAAATAGTAACGAAACACGGATACAAGTGTGCATTACAATAAAATAGTTATTACCTGAATGGCTATTAGTTTCTCAATTAACGTCATAATTTCGTCTTTATTGTTGTTCCGTGTGAAATGACGTTTTAATGCCCGGATGACGTTAATGCCTCTATTATCTGTTATGTCTAGTATATGATCGTAATTTTGATAAATTAAATGTTCTAACTTCTCCTTGTCACAAGATTTAACAATGTCTATCACATGTTCGTCAATCTCCGTCAAATATTTCGTTCTCTTGAGTTGTTCGGCGTAATCCCGTGCCGTCCGCCCCCGGTAGTCCCTCGCGGCCACGTCGATCCCGTATTTGAAAAGGGCTTTAATGAACTGACAGGAGAAATCATTGCTAATTGCTTTGAACAATAAAGTTTGACCGCGTTGGTTTCTGTGTGACATGTCAGAAACGATGAGGACTTTGTGTATGATGGAATCTGGAGGTCTATTTTCGTCTGCGATGAGCTAAAATATGGTTAAATAATGAAATAAATGTACATAATTAAATATAAAATATACACATGTGTATATCAATTTCAAAAAAAAAGTATTCCATTTATTTCCATTTCGTTTAAGCAAATAATCAAGTGTGTATTCAAAGTAAATTATTAAACAATAATAAAGCTTATGTGGAATATATGAAGTATCATATTACATGAAAAAACAATGGCTCAGCGTCTGTTCTGGTTCCTGTTTTAGAGAACAATGCGGTTGTGCTGGCGCCCATTGCAAGGATGGTTTCTACAGAGGTCTCTATGTGGGCTTCCCATGCTGCCATTAGCAACGGTTTTGGATTTGTCTGGACACGTGGACCCTCTGTCTCGTGCATATGATCTTTTGTTTGAACATCTATATGAACATCGGAACCTTGAAGAAAACAAAAATAAAATTATCCTTTATTTGGTATGGAAAACAATTATGGGACCTTCCCGCTTTCCGTATATTTCTGTCACTTTGATAAAATTTTAAGTTAAACGGACAAAACTTCACTCATTGGGAGTTCAAGCCGTTTTGGTGGGAGAAAAAAAAATATTTAGTGCACCGTCAATACAGTACAGCAAATGCTAGTAGAACAACCGACTGGTTTAAAATCATTTTAAGCATTTTCCTTCTTTGAGGACAAATATTGAAGTGATTTAGGGCAAGATGTCTTCGCTAGCGTCTGAGAATGCAATAATAAGTCTATGGTATATTTATACATGAAGTGATAATGGATTTTAGTAATTGATTTTGCATTTTAACAACATCTGCACAACATTAAAACAGCATCGTCTATTGTTATTGTCACAGGAAGATTAATATTTTACCTTGTGTATGGTATGATTTTCCAGCCAGCATAGCAATTGCAAATTCGTTTGTTTCATTATATTTTCTTAGTAGAGAATGGATATCGTCTGCTGTTTCAACGACCTTGACTAAATCAACTTCCTGTCCGTCTGGTCGCGGAAGTCGCGTGCGACACCATCCTTTCAATAAGCGCTCAACTTTCTGGACATCTACGTCATTTTCATTTAGGGTATAGTACAGACCTGAAATATTTACAAATATTTTGTCCTTACAATCAGTATCTAAAGTTTAAAGTAAAGACATACTTTTTTTCAGAAATGGTTGTGAAATATTCGTTTAGGCTATCGTATCATCTTTGGCAGAAACGTACAATTGTAATGGTAATTTTAGCTATAGAAGCTGGGGATATGATGACCCATATATACTGTCGCCTGATATCGTCTGATTAATAGGTATATCCTTTTCCACATACCTTTATCTATATTTACTGGTAGCATATGTGATCGACTCCCCCATGGTTAACATGATCAAGGTACAGGTTCAGGTAAAGGAAGCTGTATCCAAAGGTTTTGTTCGACTTAAGTTTCTTTTATTTATCTTGTTTTTATCAAGAAAGGTACACGGAACAATAGTACTTACTACAATAATAATAACAATTGGTATACTAGCTTTAATGTACACAGAACTAAGCCGAAAGATTTTGGACGAAAGGTTCGTGGTCTGAGGAACCACTCGACAGGTCACAAAATACGAGGAGAAAATTTTACCTGGGCTATACTTGGTCAGCCAGTGCAGGGTATGTTTCCAATGTTCGGGCTTTTCCGTTTTAAGAATATCCTCTGCCGTTTGTCCAGCATCATTCCGCACGAGTGGATCTACACCACATCTGTAAGCAAGTAAATACTGAACGTAAAATTCAATGAGATGTTAACTAAACGTCAAAAAGTGCCATCATTACTATATTTCCTATTTAACGACAAAATATGTCGATTTCAACACTTAAACCATTATTCGGTTGTTGTTCTTTCTCGAAAACTTCCATGACGTCTTCATTATTTTAGTGCTCTGTTCCGTACAAAATAATGCGTCGGATAACGAATATTTATCTTTTCATTTTCGAGTTTAATTTTTTACTCGAGATTTAAATTAATATATGAAGTGAAAATATAATTATGTTGACAACATATTTTATTTCGTATTTTCAGTCAAGTTAACGGTAATTTGCCCATTACTTTGAGTAATCATTATACAAACAGATTGTTTAGATTAAATAGAAATAAGACCATTGACAACATTAGGTGAATTTACTGCAAACTTCGTGCGTTCATGCTGGCGGGAAGGCGGGCGGGCGGTCGGGCGTGCGTGCCTACGTACGTACGTACGTACGTACCTACCTACCTCCGTGTATTGATCTCTACTGGTATTTAGATTGTTAGTATTGAATAATACATTAGCGTGATAAAGGGTCTAACATTGATAAATGAAAAAAATAATAACCTCAGTAAAGTTTAATCATGACGGCTGAATGGGCGACACATAAACGTCCGTTTATGAATGATATAAGCAAATGCTATGATCTATATTTTCATATGAAATGCGTTAACTGGTTTAAATGTTTAGCACGTATTAGATCATGAGATTAATTATTGAAGGCCAATTTGTTAAACGCGATCAAATTGAAATGATTGAAATATTTGAACTGTAATAATAAATAATTAATCCGCACGATTAAGCGTCTCACTGAAATGGTAAATACTAGTAGATAAGTTCTGCTGTATATATTGTGCTTAAAAACTACGCTGTCACGGTTTTATTTATTAAACTTCGCACCGCGGCCTCGCTAATTAGCGTGTTTTCGCCCCGCGCCCCCGCCATTTTAACTTGTTAATTCTGGACTTGGCCATTTTAACTTGTTAATTCTCGCTTGGCGGGGTCGCGGGGCGAAAAATCGAATGGCACAAATCAGCCACCATAGTATTTAGAAAATTAAAGCAGCAACAACAAAAATCAGATTGTGAATATTTCTTAGGACTTTTGATGTCGTTTTCATATTCATTTTGGTTAATTATTAAAAACCTCCTGTGAATAAGAAGAGAAAGATTCGAACCCATAGCGATAAACAGTGAAATACCCGAAGTTTTCAGCAAAAGAACACCCGATATAAAAGTGTTACTTTGAATAGTTGATGACATAACGAATCAACCTTCATAAAAGGAAAGGTTTTTTACTCTCATAACATTATAAAAATGCAACAGTTTAATATTTGCGTTAAGAAAGCATTTATTAAAAATCAAAATTGAAGCTTACGCTATTGAATTTGAATTAGGATACAATATCTTTTAGTATTAATATTCAAGATATGCTTTGAATGAGCGAATTGACGTAAGAGATTTCTATTTGTCGACAAAGGACTTCTTTTAAATTCTCACATTACTCATTTTTAAATGTAAACAAATTTAAGAGTGGTATTTATTCATTTCACAAAATAATCACTATGCAAACACGGTGCAAAGATTGATAGCAGTTCTGAATTTATAAATAAAATTAATGATAACAATTAATTTTGTTATTTCAGTAAAGTTTTATCATGACTGCTGTACGCAGACGACAAAGTAAATGTCCTTTTATGAATGAAATAAGTAAATGCTATATAATCTTTTCTACATCAAACGCGTTAACTGGTTTAAATAGCAAACACGTATTCTATCACAGATAGAGCTGGTTGAAGGCCAATATGTTAAATGTGATCAATTTATATGATTCAAACTATTATTTGATTTTCCAATAAAAAATATCAATCTGTTACGGTTAAACGTTTCGCATTGTTAATTTGGTGTATGCTGCATTTTAACAAAATGCACTGTCACAGTTTAAAGATCTTGAGGGAGAATAAACTTTCTATTTTGAAGATCGTTTATATGAACTATTATTATATTTGGTATATTTCTTTTGATAGGTAAAAAAACCTCGAAAACCGTCATTGTGCTGACTTGAAAGCTTTCGTTTATCCATTATGATAATAAATAGGTGACTCCCATTCGTTCGTCTCAACATCTGGACCCTATTCAGGGTAGTATTTAAGGAGAACGTGGAATTTATGTCGTTTAAATTAACTGTCTATTGTTTTCGAATAATACAATCATTTTCTGAATGCGCGTGCTTAAAGTATCATGTAAACAGTATCTGAGAGACACAGACAACCTAATGGGTACATACTATCCTCGATATAGGTTTGTAACATAGGCTTATCATTAACTACACCGCCTCTCAGAGTGTTTAAAAATAATATGTAATATGATATTACTTGTGCAGCAAAGATTTCTTTAATACACAGTATCTCTCAGAAAATATCTGTAAAGCTGGCACTATCCCATGGAATTAGTTCAGTCCGTGTAGTTATTCTATTTTTACAAAAAGCGGTCAAGGAACAAAGGTTGAAAATAAAAGATTAAGAAGTTCAGTAGCTAATGTAATAGTAATAAAAACAAATATTCATTGGTACCTCATCAGCGCTTCTATAATCCTGTATGATCCGGGCACTCTAACTGCCTTGTGCAAGCATGTGTCGCCAACATTGTCTCGTGCATCGAGATGTATTCCGCTGCTACCTATAAGGTATATCACCTTTACACCCACTGCTTTAGTCAGCTGACCGCCGTGCGCACATAGCACGTGCAGGAAATTCTGTCTACTTTCATTGTCACAAACATTGATGTTCTTTTTCGAATTTACAAAATCATAACATAAGTTCCACAATGCATTGCAAGAAACACTCGGGTTCTTAATAGCCCTGTATAGTTCTGTTCGCGATAAATCCATCATTCAACTCTTAAACATTTGCCAGTTTGCTTATCACTGGGCAACACCCATCAATTTAAACAGTTTATATATTCATATTTTATTTTGGTTAGTTACGCAGATACGATAGCATTTTTTCATTTAAGATCCTCGAACGTTGCTTGAAATTTATAGCCAATTTACATAAAAGACCCATTGCATACGCAAATTTAAAATCCACTATTTGAACACCTAAGGAAATTGAATGAAAGTCTAATGCATTATGGATATATAAGTAGCCATAATGGATTGAATTGTTATATCACTTTTAAATAGGGTCTTTAAAATAGATAGTTCCCTTTTGCATTCAGAACAATTTACTTTAATTTAAATAGCACCTGTAATATCTGTTAAAATCAAATTTGATTTACCTCTTAAAGTCGAATACAATGTTTGTAGAGTAAACATTATACGATCCGCTTTGAACATTTAAATCCTAGAGTATTAGTTAGACATGAATGTGTTCATATGTATATCGTAAATCAAAGTGGAACGATCAGGTACCAAATTAAACAATTCCAATTTTTGTAAGTGATCGATCAATACGATAGGCCATGTTTTAGTACTAATGAATAACTTGTTAAAATGAAATCCGATTAACATTGCATTGTTTTTTATACCCTGTTGAAAAGTCAACTAGTTTATCAATGAAAATATCTGAAGGAATGAAAAAACGTGCACATAATAGCAGAATATCAAGTATCATTTTATTACAATTCCTTAAACAATGTAACTAGACTATTATTATTTTGAATGAATTAAAGAATGTACTATTCACACCTAGGTTTAGTGGGGGTATCTACCGAGAATTGTTGACGCCAATCTTGCTCAATACGCACGTGCGTAACACACTGGCAGAGCAAAATGTTATACTTATAACTATTATAGCTATAGTTTCTGTTATTATTATTATTATTATTATATATATATATATATATATATATATATATATATATATATATATATATATATATATATATATATATATATATATTTACAGTCACATTCCTCCATTTACGGGGCATCGGTCTATTTGAGACCATACTTGTGGGGTTTATATTTAATGTGGGGCATACATAAGGCCTCGCAACTCTGGCATGTTTAAAACGATGTATGGGGGCGTAGGCTACCCTTCTAACATAGTGCCCGTAGGCCGGTTTTAGTAGTAAATGATATACATTTTGTATGTCCCACAAATGTATATATTTTTAATGGGGTTTTATGTTATTGGTCAATATGTTTTCACCTATGGTAAAATTAAATATATAGTTGATATATATAACTTAGTACCCCTTAGTTCTGTTGTTTGGAAATGTCATTACATGCCTACATAGTGGCATATATAATCAAAGCACAGAAGGCGCTGAATTTGTTTGGGTCTCAGAATGTAAGAAAGGTGCAGGTTGTGAGATTATATGTTTAGTGCCACCAATGCTTTCCAGCGTTTTAATTGTAGTAAATTGGCTATAAGACTAATTGCAACACTGATATTCAATCCAATGTTTATTTGACTTTAACAGTTTAAAAAATTAGTTATCTTTACTGGGATTTGAACTCCAGACCTCTCGCTTCCTAAGCGAGCCCGAAAACCCTTCAGCCACGGTGAATTTATATGTGAACGGCCTGAAGAAAACCATATTATTCTAAATTAGGGCTTGTAACGACTTTAACTGTTGTTTAACACAGATGTAAATAATCCTGGAGCTTACTATAAGCATGTATATTTATAAAGAATCAAAGGGCTGCAAGTTCTGTGGTATTTTCTGATCTTTGCAATCTAAATCGTACTGTATATCTGTATGCATTTTCCTGTATAAGTTTATTTATATGTATTATAATTCCTTTTGTAAGGCACCAGAGTTTGATACATACGGAATTCTGCATAACTAGAGTTGCATCAAAAAATCATTTATGTTTTTTTTTACGACAGCCACACTTTATCCTTGTATATCATGGCTACTTCCTTAACAAAAACACTTAAAAAAAAGAATTTAACAAAAAAAAAAGTTTCCTCGACTAGGATTCGTACTCGAGTCCTCTCACTCACGAAGCGAGCGCGTTACCACTGTACCACGGAGAACTTATACACAGATCGTCTGAATAACATCAAGTCATTCTAAATTTAGAACTTCCATTGCAGTTCGGGTTTGTAATCCTTATTAATTTCGAGGTATTTTGTTCAGGGTAAACCTGTTGTTTAACATTGAAGTAAATATTTTAGCGAAAATCCTCTCGCCCAAACAGTCCGGCATGTAGAATCTATATATTCCACTACTCGGTTTGTGTAGTATTCGGTAATCGACATGGCTAAAAATAGTATTTTCATTGATAAAATCATATTCATCCGCGTAATTTGTGATTGTGCATTTATTGACAATTCTATAAGCCAACGCTATTGTTTAACTTTAAATGCGTTGTAATTTGTTGGATACTTGTAACAAAATAGAATATTTCTTTCTTTTAAATCGCTAGTTTTAAGCTGTTTTGAGAACTACTTGTTATTAGGTTTGTCGTAAACTTCTGTGTCAGAGATTGAATGTCCGCTTTATATTTAGTTATTTTCGATCAGAAAATACAATAAAACAATATTAGAAATCTTCGACCATTCGGGAATTACTTTGCATGAAAATTGATGCGCCTGTCTTTGACCATCTTTACGCAGTGATCTCCCCTGAATTTTTCGGCTTTAGTGTACATACAAAAGGGAAGTAACCGCTTCAAAAAAGTGGACTACTTTCGGCATTTGCAATTAACAACATTAGACTCTGAAATTTCGCTACCATTATTTGTTTGGTCTGACGACCCAAACAAATAAAAACTGACTGCATGAAATAATGCCACTCAACTCGGTCTTATAAATAGGCCCCGTAAGTGAAGATATGTGTGAATATATATATATATATATATATATATATATATATATATATATATATATATATATATATATATATATATATATATATATATATATATATATATATATATATATATATATATATATATATATATATAAATTATAAAGATTATCAAAATAAATTTGATTTAACAAACATGCAGTGTTGTAAAATATAATAATGACATTTTGGCAAATTTGAAATAAATGTAACCCTTTTGAAATCGTGTTCTCAAAATAGTGTATTGAGTGTTTGGCGATCAGCTGAAATCCGTAACATATTCCTAAAAAAAGGATCAAAATCTGTTTCGTTATTGTAAGAAATTAATAATATTTCTGTAAAGACGTTATATTTTTATATATTTATTTACAGTAAGCCACTCTGTAGAATTGGCATTGTATCTATTTGTAAACCATTATTTTGAGAACGTACAAGTGGTGACAAGACAAGAATACAACTAACGATTTATTTTTTGGCGGTACCGTGAATCAATGTGGACACATAAAAGTTTGAGACCCAGTTGAGACGTACATGGCATCGGCAGAATATCTAGATTTGAAGAGCCCAATTTCCACCTTAACAGGGTCATGTTACGACATGAACAGAAGCGGAACTTCACTTATCTAAACTAACTGCTCTTGTACTGTTTGAAGTTGATGGCACTGACCCTACAAAGTAGGCAGGGACGACAGAAAGGGTACTTGCGTGTGTCATGCCCTAGTGCGTAGTGGTGGCTTGAAATGAACACCCTTTTCTTGATACTAATAGCCATTATCAGGGCTACCACACCTAACTATTATTGTTTCAGGTTACTGCACATTAAGGTGCTCATTGACTGCTGTATTTTGTTCAAAATTCATCTTTTTGGCTGACATTCTTTTGAAATTAAACAAATCTAAATTATCACAACTTTGGGCTTCAAAATTAAGTTTTAAATTCTGTCAGCGCCCGATGAAGATTTTCCAATGTTCGGGCTTTATTCTCCGCCATTTGTCCAGCATCGTTCCGCACAAGTGGATCTACACCACATGTGTAAAGAAGTATATACCGAACATAAAATTAATGAATATGGTGACTAAACGTCAATAATATCCCATCATTACTATATTTTCTATATAACGAAAATATGAAATGTCAAATTAAGACCTTGAAAAATGACATATATCTAAATTTTACATAAACATTCACCATAGCCATTTTGTCTGTTTCTGACTAATTAATCTGTGAAGTTTAAAATTACACGATTCGTTAATAAATTACTCACAGGAATGGTCGTATCAAAACAATAACAACTACAATATGGATTTGATATGTGACTTGTTTGTCTGTCATTAGAAAACATGCAACTTCCGAAGGAAAAAACGAGCGGAGAAGGTCACTGAACCAAAATTGATGAATGAGTTAGTACTTTAACAAAACAATAGGTTCATTAGCTTCTTATTTACGGGGCGAATGACATATCCATGTATAGCTATTAACACAATGCTGACAACTTGTTTAATATCAAATATAATATATGACCTAATGATATGATCTTAAGCGTAAGTTTTATAATGGGCAAGGTAATAGCAAATTTAGCCCAAAACAATACTAGGCTGGTATAAAGATTCAAACATACATTACTGAAGATTAGGTTAACTCTAAAACTGATCCCTTACCGCTTTATTGAAAAATAATTTGCAACTATGTCCACGAATCCTATCAGATTGTTTTTAAAGCTACATGCCTCCAGATGAGTCAAAATATTTCAATCTAACAATTATTTCTGATAGAAACAATTACATATTTGTGTATCTGTAAAATTTTATGTTACGAGCATTATACCAAATCGTAATGCGTAATTAACATAGTATATGTTATTTTGGTTTTGGAGTGATATATGTGGATATATTACCTGTTAAGATTTTATATCACCCGAGCCGTTAGGCGAGGGTGATATTTTATCTTGGCAGGTAATATATCCACATATGTCACTCCAAAACCAAAATAATAATTTTATTACCCTTCCCCTGCCGAGTTTAGACGATTTTTTGAAAAATCATTGTTGTTTCAAATGAAACGTCGAAATAAGATTCCCTTCAGGATACCTCTTCGTCACAACATGACGTCACATAAATACATGACGTATTTTTCCCGTACCTTACGAAAGTAAACAAGAGAAAAGGAGTGAACGCACTTTTTTTGTAATTAATATCAAGCTTTCACAAGGTCATATATGTTTTCGATACTGATGGTAATATGTATCATTACTCTACTTTGGTAAATATTTATCATTTGACAGTTAAAAAGTGCTTTTAAATCGGAATTTACGCCGCGTAAAATCGAACCGTACGCGCATCATCTCAGCGCATGTTGTTTACAACGTTGGGTACCAAACGGGGAAATTTAGTGTGTATATTACCCGTCTGGCTCGGTTATATCAATTTCTTTCGGGTGATCAATATCCAATCAAAAAGGCGGAAAAAATCTGGAAGGGTAATAAATTATAACATCCCCAATATAATATATTTTAATGTTTTTCCACAGGTAGTTGCTAAATGTCGCAACCGCCGATATACATGTATATCGAAAATCGTCTGCTGTTTAATGCCCGCACAATGGTAATAGTCCAAGAGATGGCAGGTTTTGTTGCAAT